CCTGCAGGAGGAGCTGGAGTCAGTGCAGGCTGCTAATGATAGCCTGCAGGAGGAGCTGGAGTCAGTGCAGGCTGCTAAGGATGCCCTGCAGAAGAAGTATGAGGAATCACAGGCTGCTAATGATAACCTGCAGGAGGAGCTTGAGTCCGTTCAGGCTGCTAAGGATGCCCTGCAGGAGGAGCTTGAGTNAAAAAAAAAAAAAAACAAGGATATCCATGGGCATCCGTACAATTTTTTGTATATCAGTAGTCTCGTAATTTCATAGTATGAGGGGAAAAGTGTGTCAGGGAACAGGTGTAGGAAATCTGAAAAGAAGACAAAAGTGGAAAAGAAAGAATACAAAGAAAAGAGAGATATATTTTGGTTTGGACAAGATGGCTATGACAAAAGCCTCCATCGTTATTTTTAGTTTCTTTCCTTGTTATTCCGCGTTATGTGAGCCTGCTATAGAGAAGCATTATGCAATGCCAATAACTTCATGCCAGAAAAAGATGTGAAGAGTTGCGGTGGGATTTTTACTTTCTACCCCATCTCAATTCCCCCTCTTAACAAAAAAGCACTCTAAACCTGTAACTTGCTCTTTTTCTTCTCTTCTTCCTACTTAATTTTTGCAATGTAAGTTTTATTCACTCTACTTGTAATACAAGAAAAGATCTACATTAATCAGCATTCCTACATACGTTACACTGATGTCGACACTGCGTGCGGAGTAGGACAGAATGTCTCCATCTGAGGAGATTGTTTCAGGACCGGCTGCTAAGGATGCCCTGCAGAAGGAGTATGAGGAAGCACAAGCTGCTATTAATAACCTGCAGGAGGAGCTTGGGTTCGTACAGTCTGTTAAGGATGACCTGCAGGAGTAGTATGGGGATTCACGGGTTTCTAATAGTAATATTAAAAGCGTGCTGGTTTCACAGCTTGACAGGATGCGGGAAAGCCGTGCAGATTCTCCGAAAGAGCGATCTAACCTGCGTCAGGAGAATAAGAAGCTGCACACAATGCTGGAGGAACTTGCACACTCGGGTAAGGAGCTGAGTCATGTGGGTCTCCTGAACGAGGAGCTGCGAGCGGAGCAGGACAGAATGCTTCCAGAGGAGCTGCTGGTGTTGTTGTCGTCATGTGAAGAGAGTGAGAGTCATAATGAGACTCATGCTGAGGAGCTGAGTGACGTGCCGCGCACACGCTTTGTTGCGGTGGAGGAAATGACCGGATATGTGCCTCTGTCAATAACAGGTGATAACCAGCAAATTAACAATTTGTTGTTGTCACAGTATGATTTGAAGGATCTTTGCAGTAGTCAGAGAGAAATGAAGGAGCAGTTGAAGGAGCTTGTGACTGCACATAAGCAACTGACGGATGTAATCTTGGGGTTTGGTAGGGCTCAGAAGGATATGCGGAGTGAATTTGACATTGTCCTGCACTCGCAAGCAGAGTCCTTAAGGGTGTGGCCCTCGAAGGGAGCTCACGATGTTGTGCCTTCCGAATCCGTCGGGGAACCTGTTTTGCCTGCTAATGTTTTAAGATACGATGCGGTAGAAACGATGAATGAAGGGTCGGTTATGAGAACTGGTCGGAGTCATGATGCTGTTGTGTTTGACGTTTCTGGTTCTTTTGAGGGACGCATTCTTGGAGACAGGGATACTGCAGTTGTTTGTCCCTCTGTTTCTGCTGGTCGTGATGACGGTGCGTCAATGTACTCACATTCTTCTGATTCTATGAATTGTGGAACTTGCGTTCGCATGGCTGAATGTGTGAAGAAACTGCAGGAAAAGGTGGCATCACAGTCTGATATAATAAAGGGCTATGTTGAGTGCCAGGATTCTCTGGTTCAGTCGTTTAGTGACCGTGTGAGAATATTGGAATGTGATGTTGACAGTATGCGCGAGGAGCTTCGTAGAAGAGGTGTTGACGAAGAATAATGTTTTCTCTGTTTTGTGGGTTTTTTTTTTTGTTTTTCTTTTGCACATTGGGGTTAATTTCTTTCGAAGAATTCAATTAAATAAATGTTGTTTTTATTATCTCTGTGTTCGGAGTGAAGTGACCGTAAAAAGGGGGAAAGTGAGAGCTGGTGTTATTTTGACTTCTTTTTGAATTGGTTTGTGTTGACTTTTTTGATTCCAATAAAGTTTCTTCCATCCTTTGAGGTGTTTTTTTTTTTTTTTTGCTTTCTAGTGAAAGATTTGTTTTCATTTAGTACCACTGAACATGTCAATTGATAATCTGCCAGACACATTCATGCAATCCGTGGACGGAGATGACGGGCGCCTCAATGACGGGTTCTGGAAAATAAGGAGTGCCAGTGTTGATGATGACCCGTTGTACGTTAAATCGCTTGATGAATCAGGGTTTTTGGATGGTATTTCGTCCTCCGAGTCGTGTGCGTCCGTGTCCGTTGTCACGACACGCCACGTTAAGCGCTTCGACGGAGATGACTGGAAGTGCGTGTTAATTAACCATCTGGATACACTGCGGGCCACGTTCGTTGCCGAGGCGGCTATTGCATGTCGTGTGACACAAGATGACATCACTCTCTGTGAGTTGAGACTTGGCAGTTTGTATGTTACCTTCCATGTCTCTCATGATGCAGATGTTAGTGAGACAGAGATCCAGGATCGTGTGGAACTCTACCCTTTTCGGGAGGTAATGAGACTTTACGCCAACCGTGATGCTCCAGCAGACGGCTTGGATGCGGCGCTGAAGCGTATCGCGGAACTTGAAGACGAGATGAAGAACAAGTTGGCAAAGCTGCAGGAGGAAAACGCAAAGAAGGCGGCAGAGCTTGAGCGGTCCAAGTCTCAGATGGAGAGCGAGTTAAGGCAGGAAATGGAAGATAGGGAGAGAGAACTCGCAGAGGCACTCAGCAGTGCGCAAGAGGCGCTGCGCGCCAGTGAGGCGGAAAACAAGCGCCTAGAGGAAGAAAAGAAGAAAGCGTTAGAGGCAATATTGCGAGAACGCAAGCGCATTGACAAGCACATGCTCCGCCAGAATGAATTGATTGCCGCCATCGTGCAGGAGAACAAAAAGGAAATGGAGGCGAAGGAGCGTGAGTTTGAGGAGTGCATACTTGCGAAAGATGTCATAATTGAAAACCTGCGCACCCGTTTGCGCTCAAAGAGTGAGCCGCCAAACGGTGATGCGTACTCGCGCGCCGGTTCTGCGGAGACCGACCGCGCAGAGGAGTTTGCGAAACTGATGGGCCGCATGGAGGAGATGGCCATTGTGCTTGAAAAGACACAGGAAGCTGAGACGGAGTCGCGGGGTGAGATCCAGCGGTTGTCTGAGGCGCTGAGGTTTTCGGAAGAGGCACGTCAGTCGGACGCAGTCATCTACGAAAACAACATGCTTGCTTTAAAGCAACAGTTGCAGGCGTATCGTGACACCAGACGCGCAGAAGATCACCAGAGGCGTCAGGAAGAGTCTCGTTCCCGACGTAGCACGAACCTTGATAAAGAGGAAAAGACAAATGAAACAATTGTACGACAGTATGAGACGGCATTGGAAAATATCCTTGGGACTTTGCAGGACCGTCTGACCATTTTACGCGAGGAATATGCATCGTTCCTCAAAGTGTCAGAAGAGGAAACGACAAACGAAAAGGGTGTACTTGGTGAGCACGAGCAGGACAACCAACATATGAGGCAGACGTTCCGCACTGCATCGCTAACGCTTCAGCGGGTGTTCTGGAGCACACGTGAGAAGGAGGTTCAGGATGTGATCGCCGAGCTGGACAATGCGGCGGCGAGTGCAGAAAAGTCAAGGGCCGCAGTAAAAGTCACTCTGGCATTACTGGACTCACGCCTAAATTCTTTTAACGAACAGAAGGAATGGATGGAAAGTCATCAGCAGTCACTGGAGGAGCTTATCTCATCTCTCCGGCAGCTCAACAAGGGTGCCTTTGAGCGGCAGCTTTCCTTAATGAATGAACAGGCGGCAAAACAGTTTTCGGCAGCATAAACTGTGTTTTTTTCTTTTTTCCTTTCGTAAGTTTTTGTTTCTCAATGTCAGTCTATTTTTGTGACTGAATCATTATGGTAGATAATCGTGTTGTAAGTATATTGTTTGCTCCTTGTGTCGTCGTTATTCGCTCCACCATGGCTCTGTTCAGTGGTGTGATTCCCAGAGGTTCAATGCTCGCTTGCCACCAAGGAAATAATTAACATGGGCTTCTGGTGTTGCGAATAATGGCTACAGGAACAGAGAACTGTGAGGGGCAAGGTAAGTTGTGACGTGGTCTTTTTGCGCTATTTCATTTAACCATGGGGTTTGTGTTTCACCGTCTCTGTGCTCCTGCTCTCTAATCTCATCTTCTCGCCACTTATGTGCCTGAGACTGTAACATTTGGTTGAAAAAAGTGGTCTGAAGAGGAAATCCCTCGTTGTGCTGTGGCATGTACCCCGAGGTGGAGCGTGTCGGTGTCTTCATTTCGCATATATAATACGCATCTGTGAGCGCAAAAATATTTTTTTTCTGCATTTCAGCACTTCACTGAAATATGCAAACAAATACGCGTTCAACTCCTATCTATTCATCTTACGAATAAACATTTTCTTGTTGAGCAATGCCAACACACGAATGTGGAAGGAATGAACGTCACTGCAGAGAGAATGAAACAACAACAACAACAATAAAAAAAAAAAAAAACAAGGATATCCATGGGCATCCGTACAATTTTTTGTATATCAGTAGTCTCGTAATTTCATAGTATGAGGGGAAAAGTGTGTCAGGGAACAGGTGTAGGAAATCTGAAAAGAAGACAAAAGTGGAAAAGAAAGAATACAAAGAAAAGAGAGATATATTTTGGTTTGGACAAGATGGCTATGACAAAAGCCTCCATCGTTATTTTTAGTTTCTTTCCTTGTTATTCCGCGTTATGTGAGCCTGCTATAGAGAAGCATTATGCAATGCCAATAACTTCATGCCAGAAAAAGATGTGAAGAGTTGCGGTGGGATTTTTACTTTCTACCCCATCTCAATTCCCCCTCTTAACAAAAAAGCACTCTAA